AGTTAAAAATAAAATAAATTAAAAATAATATTTTAATAAATATATTATATAATATATTAAATTAAATAATATATTAATAATTATCCATTTAAGATAAAAATCTTCAAATCAAACAAAATTGGAAACCCACAACAAGCAGTCCAGCAGGCAACATCAGTTGAAGCCGTTCGGTACTGGCCATTGGGTGAAATACTCGGTTTGATCTCGCATATCTGTCAAGCGATAAGGTTTCATTTTTCTAAAAATATTTATTGAAATTGTAGACCATGAGGGAATAGGATAAGAAACGAGAATTGAAAGATAATCCTTGGGTGTGAATAAAACGTTTTTGAATTATGTCAAAAATACAGACTAGAATCCCCACATTTTATTTAGGTTCAAATAATTATAATTTATAATTAATTACACTCATCGTTCTAAAAAATTAAGCTTTATTGAATACTTATAAATGATATGTATTATGTGATTAGTTGAATTAAAAGCATAAATACTTCTATTTAAAAAAAAAGAAGAAGAAGAGAGAATTGAAATGATGAAAGAGAAAAAAATAAACATCATATGTAGTGGATTTTAGTTTATATACCTTATACTCTATCCCATTCTAAATATAAATTGTTTTAAAGATTTTTATGGATATTAAAAAATATAATTAATAACTTTAATTACAAAAAAGTTTATACTTAATTTAATCTATTTACCCCCTTTTTTATCTTCAACATCCAGCTTCTTATTAAAAAATGTAAGATGCTTCGGTTCTTATGCAAGATAAACTACTGGAATATTTTCCAAATCATTACTGTAAATCATTGGCACTGGCCCTTGAGGCCTAGTGGCATAGCCACGGTGCATTCCCCCTCCCCCGGCAGGATTCAAAACCTGCCATTGTAAAATATGTTCAAAAAAAAAAAATACTGTAAATCATTGTCCAGTACAGCTTTCTTCTTACTCTTAGGCATCGAACCCATACCTTGACATATGTGCCCTTTATATTTCATTGCTTCTTAACCATTTATGAAATGATAGTACCATAATTATATTTAAAAGGTAGTGAAGTGAAACTCAAGTAGACATGATAATTTGAAAGAAATTGAATAATTATTGAGAATGGAGAGGGCGCGAGCGAGAGGTGCGGCGGCTAGAGACGACAGAGATTCCAGACGGCGGCAGGCTTACAGGCGGCGACAGGGTAACGATGGGTCCGATAACCTGGTTCCAGGGAAGGCATTTTTCTTCTACAATTTTCCAGAGACATGTTGCGCAAAGGATTTATGGTATCACTTTCAAAAGTATGGGCGTGTTGTGGATGTCTATGTGCCTGGGAGAAGAGATAAGCGGGGGAAACGGTTTGGGTTTGTACGCATGTCTGGAGTGCAGTCTGCAGAGGAAATGGAGAGGAAGCTTAATGATCTCTGGATTGGGTCATATAAGGTTCGGGTAAAAGTTGCAGAGGACAGGAGGCGGCAATTCTCTAGAGTTAGAAGGGCTCCGAGGGTCTTAGAGGTAAGAAAACCAGAGCACAGAATGGATAGACTTGTTCAACCGGGCCATTCTTATGCACAGGCAGTGGTGGGGGTTCGTTCACAGAGTAGGGAGCCTACCAATAGTGCAGGGGCAGCGCGCGAGAAGGAAGGGCAACTTGTGGAGAACGAGATAACTGGTTCCTGTGTCAAGGAGGCTGTAGGTCATGAGAGGGTGGAGATCAGATCTGAGCAGTCCAAGGAAGAGGCTATTGAATTTGCACCAACGAAGGAAGAAACCAAATGGCTTGAAGGAAGTATGGTTGCTGAGGTTAGATCAGTAACCTTGATTTCTAATATTCAAGAAAGATTAGTTGTGGATGGAGGGGTGATTACCTTATTGTCATTGGGAGGGAAAAGGGTGCTATTAACCGAACAAGCTACAGGATGTTTGGTTGATTACTCTCAGCAAAATAAAGACTTGTTCGATTTATGGTTTGAATCGGTGTAACCATGGACATTGGCAACTCCAGCAAGCTGTAGGTTGGTGTGGCTGCGTATCTCTGGGATTCCATTAAAAGCTTGGTGTGATAGATGTTTCCAAATGTTAGGTGAATTGGTGGGTGAAGTGGTTCGGATTCATGAAGATACTTCAAACAAGATTATATTGGGTGACGGAAGGGTTTTAATCCTCTACTCTGAAAAGAGTAAGATTCTCCGAACTGTACTATTGAAAGTGGAGGACCAGGTGTATGAGGTAGGGATGATGGAGGAAGAATGGCGTTCCGATCCCGATTGGTGGCTGTCGGACGGCGATAGGCGGTGTGAATCGGAAACTGAATCGGAATATTCATTATTGCCTAACGGTAGTGAGGATGCTGACTTGATTCACGCCGCAATAAGTGGAGGGAATGCGGATATATTTGAGGAGGAGATGCTGGAGAAGGAAGATGATTCAAATTCAAACAGGAATTTTGTAACAGATGGCAGTGAAGGCCGGCTTTCCGAAACGGAAGATATTGAAGACGGGTTTAGTGGGCTTAATAATTGTAATGGGTTGGAAAGGGTTCAGCGGACTGGACCTGAGGAGTCTTATGGGCCCAGTGCAAAGATGTCTCCAAAGAGGGCCAGGGTCGGTACTAAAATAGCGTCTGTAGCAACCAAAGAGCATGTCTTGACCCCTGTTCAGCAACTGGAAAACAGGGGTGCGATGGGTAAGCGGCGGAAGCATCTTGTGGAGTGCTACCCGCCAAATCTGGCTGAAATTGGAGACAATAGCACCCAATGGGTCACGGCGAGGTCCAAGCAGAGACAACGAAGATGGAAACAGGCTCAACAGGAGGCGCCGACGGAGGTAAGGGAAAGTATCTCTCTTTTGGATCGGTGCCTAGCTAATAGAAATCGGGTGATTCAGAGGGAAATGAATTTACTAGAAGTTAGAAGGTTGATTAGTGTGGGGAAGAGGCTGGGTGTTCAGATTCAAGGGAATGAAGAGGAGGTCCAGTCCAGATTGTTGCAACTAGAAGATCCGGTGGTGGTGACGGGGCAGTGTAGGAACGATGCGTGAAGTTTGTAAGAGGTGGGAGGGTTTATTGCGTGTTGTGTTTGTACAATTATGAAGTTTTTATCTTATAACGTTAGGGGATTGGGGGGATCGGTGAAAAGGAAGGAGGTAGGGAGAGTGGTAAGAATCGAGAGGCCTGATTTTTTGTTTTTGCAAGAGACTAAATTGCAGAAAGTGGATGGAAGCGTGTGTATGGGGTTGTGGTATTCTGATGAATGTGACTGGGTTATGAAGGAATCAATCGGTGCTTCAGGGGGTTTAATTTGTGTCTGGAATACTGTTAATTTTGTTAAGCTAGGGGAGTTTGTTGGAGATGGGTTTTTGGGGATTGAAGGGATTTGGGGTTCGGGAAAGGTGCTATGTTATTTTGTGAATGTGTATGCTTCCCAGGATAGGTGTACAAAGGCGAGGTTATGGGAGGAGTTGGGTACGATGGTTATGGAAAAGGGAGGTTGTTGGATGATTGCAGGTGATTTTAATGCTGTTAGATGTCCTGAAGAAAGGAGAGGTAGAACTGGAGTATGTCCAGAGATGGAGGAATTTAATGTGTTTATCGAGTCAACAGGATTGGTTGATATCAGATTGGCGAATAGACGTTTTACATGGTACCGACCGGATGGGTCTTCTATGAGTC